GAACAAACTCACAGCAAAATAGAGTTGGTCTTATTGCAGAATGAGTAAATTTCATTGTCTGGTTGTTGTACTTTTCAGTGTTATATCTTCATGCTTTCTTCACGATTTGTTTGAATTTCAGGACATGTTTTGTCTCACAAAACATGGAGCGACTTTCTCTTCACTCAACATGTCGAGGCGTACTTACTGTTCAAGTTATGATGAACATGCTTGTAATGCAATAATCTTTCCCCTGATGCTGAAAACTGAAGAATCAATCTCTGAAATTGATAGTCATCACATTTTGCAGAGGCGTCCGACCTGTGATCATGTAATAATATGGGTTTCTGGCAGTTTGAGTTCTCATGCATGCTGATAAGCACATCGTTAGCTTAAGTAATTGTTGTTTACAGTTTTTGAATCCAAGAGCCGTGTTTGAGAGTCCGTTTCTCTAACCTTCCTGAATATTTTCTGTTGAATTTACTAGGGTACCATCTCGGAATTTCATAGGTTATCATGAACGATAAATTTGTATTGGCAGCATAATTTATGAAAGTATTTTTGACACATCATCAGTCTACAATTCGTGAACCATTTCTGTAACCTGCTGGGATATTTTCTTTTGACTGAGTTAATTGAATCACTTCCTCGGAATTTCATTAGTAATCGAGAACGATAAATCTGTATATATAGCACAAGTGAAGTACATTGACCGTCGATAAATTGCCATGGCGTAACTCGCTGATCATTTTATTATTTTGTAGCTCCAATATATTTGATAGACAAGGCACCCTTCAAGGAGGAAGGATAGAATAAAATTGCATTTATGACTGTATATTGCACCCGGTTTACATATGTAGATAATTGCCTAAAAAATACGTACTACAGTTGTATTCAGAAGTATAGATTATTAGGTAATATGCTTCTGCTTTATTTTATCGAAAGGGGTTTCTTTTTATTTAACATATACCCATTCTTTAATTTCCTCTTCAATCTGCCTGTAAATAATTAAATTTTATGTTTTAGTTCTTGTGTGAGAAGATAAAACAGAAGTGTCGCACAGTCCTCTTTACAGATTGAATTCAGGTGAGAACATCAGTAAACTAGTTAATGTCATATGCTTCTCCTGAATCTTTAGTTTTATTGCCCTGGTTTTTTTTCTCCCAAAGTTTCCTTTATATCCTTGTGTGCCGGTTAATTAAAATCTCACTGATTAGTTATGACATATTTAAGTAGGTTTCTTAATTCCATCTTTAAGTTTTTGGCATTTACTATTTTAAAAATTAATAAATGGCATTCCCTGGCTTTTCATCCTTGTAAAGAGATATTGCACATTTCTTCAACTAAAATTTGAATCATGAAGTCAACTTAATTTCAATGAGTTTGAAACTTCATTTTACATAAAAACAATTAACTGGAGTATTATGTTGTATCTATTTGCTGTCTTTCTCGAGTACCGTATTTATTCACTTAAGCACCCAACCTGGAATAAGCGCCCACCCTGAAGGAGGAAAAAGTTAATAAGCACCCAGCCTCGAATAAGCGCCCACCCCCAAAAAGTACTTTTTAAGCGCCCAACCTCGAATCATTGCCCACTCCCCCAAAAGAAAAAAAAATAATAAAGTGCACAAGAGGAATACGGGTATTGATTATTACGGTATTTCTTTAATGGCCTACAATGTCTAGTTTTATTGTCTGAAAATTTTATGACAACAAGTCTGTTCTCCAGCCTTCTTGACCCTGTTACTTTAACAGAAACCTCATTATCGTCGTAAGCTCTCAGAAATGTATAGATAAGGTAAGACAGTTTCATTGGCACATGTCCTACAAGCCCCCTGCTGGTAATAGCTTCCAAATACATCCCGATTGCATATTCATCATGTTGTTTGGCTTCTTTGCGATCATCCTCGTGGCAGTTTCTCTCCCAAAGTTGGAGTCCACGCAGATTTATAAAAATGATGACCTCGTATAACTGATGTGAATTGCACTTCAAACACAAAGTTCCATTTCAGATTATGAAAACTTAAGCGAGCCATGGCCTTGAATTCACATTGAATGCTTTGGCACTAAAAGCAAGCTGTTCAGTTCGCTAAGCTACAGCGGAAGCCACACGTGTTTCCTGTTATGTACCGGGAGCTTTTTGACTATCGTTCTTGGACACAATTACCTTATTCCAAACTTGCGGGATCTAGCACCTTCATGCATTCATGTGATATGTAAACTGACAGATCAGATATTTGATTCCAGAGATGTTTAAAAAGACATAAATCACACAAGTCACGTTTTCATCTTCCCTTTGATCTGAAAGCATCTAAGTCTCATGCTGGCAAAAAAGTAAGTTTGTACTCAACCAAATATAAATTAGGAGCTATCAAGTTTGCCGAAGAAAGTAAAAGCATCCTTAGCGCTGCAAAAAAATTCAATGTAGACCGTAAAAGAATTCGTGACTGGCAAAGTGCCATCGCAAAAAGACCTGGACAGACTTAGTGACAAGCTTATTGCCTAAATCATACAAGTATGA